GCCCAAGCTCCCTGGGAAGCGCCCAGCCCCACAGCCGCCTCTGCCCCGCACCCCGCGGTGCCCGTCCCGCCCAAGGGGCCCAGGCGTCCGGGCTCCCGCGGGGCCCCCGGCTTTATCGCCTTTCTCCCGGGGCGAGGTCCCGCGGATCCGGGGGGTGGCACGTGTCACCACCGTCCCCTCCCCCGCGGGAGCCGCCCGCGGTGACGGTGTCGGTGACGGTGACGGTGTCGGTGACGGTGACGGTGACGGTGACGGTGACGTGGCCGGCGGTGATGGGGTGCCGGGCCCCCCGCCGCGGCCGTGTCCCCCGCAGATCTACGACGCCACGGTGGACAACGCCCGCACGCTGCTGCAGATCGACAACGCGCGCCTCGCCGCCGACGACTTCAGGGTCAAGTGAGACGGGGACGGGACGGTGGCGGGGACGGGGGGACGGGGAGGGAAAGGGGGGCGCGGATGGGGCCCAGCAGGACTGGGGGGGACGGGGATGGAGGTTGCAATGGGACGGGGGCGGTGGAAAGATGGGGACGAGGATGGAAATTGGGACAGGGATGGGCTTGGGAGGAAGAACTGGAGAGGAGGATGGGATGGAGATCGGGATGGGATGGGGACAAGGGATGGCGATGGGGACAAGGGATGGCAATGGGGAGATCAGGGTGGGATGGGGACAAGGGATGGCGATGGGGACGAGATCAGGATGGGATGGGATGGGGACAAGGGATAGGGTTGGGGAGCAGATCAGGATGGGATGGGGACAAGGCATGGCAGTGGGGAAGAGATCGGGATGGGATGGGATGGGATGGGGACAAGGGATGGCAATGGGGACAGGGATGGGATGGGGACAAGGCATGGCAGTGGGGAAGAGATCGGGATGGGATGGGATGGGGACAAGGGATGGCAATGCGAAGGAGATCGGGATGGGATGGGGACAGGGATGGGATCTAGAACAGGGATGGTGACAGCAGTGGGGTCAGGATGGAGCCCTGGACGAGGACACACTCATATGGCCCTGGCGATGTGGACAGATGCATGAGGACAGACGTGGGGACGGGGCTGGAGGTGGGCGGGGGACGAGGACGAGGACGGCAGCAGGCGCCGTGTCCCCCAGGTACGAGGCCGAGCTGGCCATCCGCCTCTCGGTGGAGAGCGACATCGTGGGGCTCCGCAAGGTCATCGATGACACCAACATGGCCCGGCTGCAGCTGGAGGGGGAGATCGAGTCCCTCAAGGAGGAGCTCATCTTCATGAAGAAGAACCACGAGGAGGTACGCGGGGGCCGGGCGCTGGGGCCGGCGGGGCTCGGCTCCGCGGGGACCTCACGGCGCTGGCTCGCTGTCCCCAGGAGGTGAAGGGCCTGCAGGCGCAGATCGCCGACTCGTCCGTCACGGTGGAGGTGGATGCCCCCAAGTCGCAGGACCTGGGCAAGATCATGGCCGAGATCCGGGCGCAGTACGACGCGCTGGCCCAGAAGAACCTGGAGGACCTGGAGAAGCAATGGGGGCAGCAGGTGAGCGCGCTGCCCCATCGCCCGCACCCCAAGGTGCTCCTTGGAGGTCTTGACCTGGTGGAAGGGACCTCAATCCCGGATGGGGGGGGAAGTCCCCAGGGCTGACATTGGCCAGCAGACCCCAACCTGGAGTTCCCCATTGGGACCCTCTAAGGAGACCTTCCCCAATGAGAGTCTTTCCCCAATGAGGGTCCAGCTCCCAATGAGCTGGACCCTGCTCCAACCCTGGGGACCAGCCCAGGGGGTGACCCCTCCGCCATGGGGCCGGTGCCCCCCGCGCCGCGCCGCCTCCCCAACGCAGATCACCGAGAGCACCATCGAGATCACGCGGAGCAGCAAGGACGTGGACACGGCGCGCAGCACCGTGCTCGACCTGCGCCGCACCGTGCAGACCCTGGAGATCGACCTGGACTCCCTGCGCAACCAGGTGGGACCCCCGGCACCCCCGGGACCCGCCGCCTCCGGCACCAACCCCGGTCCCAGCGAGGTCCCCGAGGGGGACGCGTCCATCTCGGGGCTCCGGGGGGTCCCTTGCAGAAAGCCGGCCTGGAGGGCAACCTGCTGGAGGTGGAGAGCCGCTACGGGCTGCAGATGGAGCAGCTGGGCGCGCTGATCGGGCACGCGGAGGCCGAGCTGGCGCAGGCGCGCGCCGAGCTGCAGCGCCAGGCCGACGAGTACCAGGCGCTGCTCAACGTCAAGGACCGGCTGGAGGCCGAGATCGCGACCTACCGGCAGCTGCTCGAGGGCGGCGAGGAGTTCAGGTAGCGCCGGGCTCTGCCCTTAGGCGGGGCTTAGCTCCCCTTAGGAAGGGCTCGGGAAGCGCCCGGGGTGCTCCTGCTCCATCGCCACCTGCATCCTTGGGGCGCCAAAGGGGGATGGAGGGAGGTTGGGGTGCCCGGCTGGGAGAGGCACCCCTGGGTGCTCGGAGAGGCACCCCTGGGTGCAGGGATGGCACCCCTGGGTGCGCTGAGCTCACCCCCTGCCCCCCGCAGCCTGCGGGACGCGCTGGACAAGGAGAGCACGGCCACGGTGCACAGGTCCACGCAGAGGACGGTGGACGGGCAGGTGGTGTCGGAGAGCCGGGAGGTGGTGAAGGTGCGGGCGCACTGAGAGCGGCGCCCGGCACCCGGCACGCGGCACCCGGCACCCGGCACCCGGCACCTGGCGCCCGACACCCGGCACCCGGCACCCGGCACGCGGCCGGCTTCCCCCCGCACCAATAAAGAGGCATCGCAGCCCCCGTCTCCGCGTGCTGGGGACCACGGGGACACTTGGGGGGCACGGAGGCATCGCAGCCCCCGTCTCCGCGTGCTGGGGACCTGGGGGTGCCCGGGGGGCGCCCCGGGGGCGGAGGCCCCTGCGGGGCAGACGAGCCGAGGCAGGGAGGCTGCGGGCGGCAGGAAGCGACCGACGGGGTCCGGAGCTGCTGCCGGCAGCAGAGGCGGCCCTGGGTTGTCCCCAGAGCCCCCGAGCTTCGCACGGAGCCCACGGAGCCCCAGGGTGCCCAGTGGAGCCCCAGGGTGTCCCACGGAGCCCCGGGGTGCCCAATGGAGCCCCCAGGTGTCCTGCAGAGCCCCGGGGTGCCCAATGGAGCCCCAGGGTATCCCACGGAGCCCCGGGGTGCCCAATGGAGCCCCCAGGTGTCCTGCAGAGCCCCAGGGTGCCCAATGGAGCCCTGGGGTGCCCCACCATGCCCTGGGGGTCACCAAGAGCCCCCATGTGCTCCACGGAGCCTTGGGGGTCCCAAAGGGCTCCAGAGTGTCTTGCTGAGCCTTGGGGTGCCCCAGAGAGCCTGAGGGTGCCCCAGGGAGCCCTTGAGGGTCCCCAGGAGCCCTGCAGAACCTTGGGGTGTCCCACAGGGCCCAGGAAGGTCCCAGGGCCCCGCAGGGTGCCCTGCAGAGCCTTGGGGTGCCCTATAGAGCCCTGGGGGATCCTGAACAGCCCCAGGGCACCCCTGAGAGCGTTGGGGTGCCCCTGAGAGCCTTGGGGTACCCTATAGAGCCCTGGGGTGCCCCACAGAGCCCTGGGGKATCCTGAACAGCCCCAGGGCACCCCTGAGAGCCTCGGGGTGCCCCTGAGAGCCTTGGGGTACCCTATAGAGCCCTGGGGTGCCCCACAGAGCCCTGGGGKATCCTGAACAGCCCCAGGGCACCCCTGAGAGCCTCGGGGTGCCCCTGAGAGCCTTGGGGTACCCTATAGAGCCCTGGGGTGCCCCACAGAGCCCTGGGGGATACTGAACAGCCCCCAGGCTGTTCCTGAGAACCTTGGGGTGCCCCTGAGAGCCTTGGGGTGCCCTATAGAGCCCTGGGGGATACTGAACAGCCCCCAGGCTGTTCCTGAGAACCTTGGGGTGCCCCTGAGAGCCCTGGGGTGCCCCTGAGAGCCTTGGGGTGCCCCTGAGAGCCTTGGGGTGCACTACAGTTCCCAGGGGTGTCCTGCAGAGCCTCAGGGTGTCCTGCAGATCCCTGGGGTGTCCCACAGAATCCCAGGGTGCCCCAGAGAGTCCTAGGGAGCCCCCGGTGTGTCCTACCTAGCCTTGGAGTGCCCCTGAGGGCCTCGGGGTGCCCCACAGAGCCCTGGGGGATCCTGAACAGCCCCAGGGTGCCCCTGAGAGCCTCGGGGTGCCCTATAGAGCCCTGGGGTGCCCCACAGAGCCCTGGGGGATACTGAACAGCCCCCAGGCTGTTCCTGAGAACCTTGGGGTGTCCCTGAGAGCCTTGGGGTGCCCTATAGAGCCCTGGGGGATACTGAACAGCCCCCAGGGTGACCCTGAGAGCCTTGGGGTGCCACCGAGAGTCTTGGGGTGCCCTACAGAGCCCTGGGGCCCCCCATAAAGCCCTAGGGAGCCCCAGGCTGTCCTGCACGGTCAGTCCTGTCCCCTGGGCCGCGCCGGACTCCATGGCTGATCTCCGACCGCCATCCCGCGGCCGAGCCGGCTTCCCACGGCCTCCCGACGAGACGGACGGACGGACAGGCGGCTGGACGGGGCGCTCGAGCCCTGCGCAAGGGAGCTGCTGCTCGGCACGAGGACCAGCAGTGGCCGCACGGGCCGTGGTGCTTTGCGCGAGGGCCGATACGTGCGACATGGGGGTCGTGCATTGCACTAGGAGCGTGTGTGCACGGGGGGATGATCCGGTACCCAGCGAGGGCCAGCGCTGCCCGGGAAGAGGCTTGACGGTGCATTGCACCAGGGCAGCCGGTGCACGGGGAGGAGGCAGCGCGCACGGCGCACTTGGGGGCCCCTGCGAGCGAAGACCCCGCGCTGCACGAGCGCCGTGAGCGTGGGCGGAGGCGGCACGACGTCCCGCATTGCGCCAGGGCCGCGGAGGCTGCGGCGCGCTGCACAACACCCGCGCGGGAGCGGCGCCGTGGGGCAGGCGCGCGACGCCAACCATAAGATCAACCGCGCGGCGCAGCGTGGCGCGCCCGCCCGCGCGCCTTTCCGAGCGCGCTCCTCCCCCGCCTCCCCTCCGGAGGAGGGGGGCGGGGCCGCTCATAATCACGTGACGCCGCCATCCGGGTCCTTTGGCTTCTCTGCCTCTTCCCAACATGGCGGCCTCAGGTGAGCG